TTGCAGGTTCAAGGAATACAAAGTTTAAGCTACTGTGCTTTACCTGGCCAGCAGTCAGGAGTTTATTGCATGTCTGAACTTCAGACTGTAATAAAATTCACGATAGATTAATCACAGATCATTTAAAACCCCTGTTAAATAAGACAGTATAATTTCCCCAAGACCAAAATTGTGGGATGCTAGGATGAACCTTCTGTGGCTGTGCTTCGTATGTGGTGGTGACATCCCAAGAGAAATCATCTAGGTGCCTAAAGTGATTTGCCCCACTGTGTACTCTTATAGCAGGTCTTTACCAGTTGCTCAGGAAAGTGAGAAGTGCCAAAAGAATATCAGAAAAACAGCAGGGAGCAGCTAACTACTCCTCTCATGTTATTGGGAAACTAGTATTAGAACATTACCCAGAATTGTATTCCCGGCTTGTGCTGTAAACAGCGCCCAGGGCAAATCATAAAGAGATCGAACTGCATTTAACCTCGTTAAAGCAATCCATCAAACTCCGTGTACGCTCCTGGAAAGGGATCGTTGCTCCAGAATGCCTCGGCATGCTCCAAATTGCGAACTGGTCGCGTTCTGCTTGTCCTAGCGCTCAGCGGAGCATTTAATTTTGCCTCCAACATGTATATCTGCTGAAGCTTTGAAGGTGACAAAACATGCTTCTGATCATAGAATCATAGAACGGCCTGGGTTGGAAGGGACCTTAGAGATCATTTAATCCAACCTCCCTGTCCTGGGCAGGGACGCCACCTCTTGACTAGACCAGGCTCAAGGAGGTGTTTGAGGGGACAGCACTGTGGTGTGCAGTCGTGTTTCGAGATCCACGCAGCAGCGACACGGAGGTACGGTGCTGTAAGCCTTGCCTCCAGGAAAACTGCAGGAGAGAGAGTAGGCATCTGCTGCTTGTTTGCAGTTTTACCTGTCGTGCTGTGTTCTTCTGTCAGGTTCTTCAGTGCGTGAAGCAAACATCTGAGATGTGACTGAGTGTTCCTCAGGGATGGGAAATCAACTACTTCGGGGTTTGGGGTTTCATTTATCTCTTACTGGGATGCAGACTAATGACGAAGCAGTTCTCGTTATCTATTCCTGTGTCTATTGCATGGAGTAGTTTGATGAGGTTATGAAAGAGTAAGCCAGGCTACATCGCTACCCACTGGTATAAACAGCAAATTATAATTTGCATTTTTAGAAGTCTTCCTCATGTTTATTAAAAGCAATGTCAAGTTACGTAATCTCAGGTTTTCACCAAAGTTGCAGTTTATTTTGAAGAAGTTTAGGATGTAAATATTTCGCTGCTGCTGGACTTTGGATTTGAAAGAAATGTCCTCTGGATGAGCTTACTTGAGAAATTTCAGTTTACGAATTCCTGCATTTTGTTAAAGTTGGAGTGTTAAGTTTCCCCATAATGAAGGTAAGTCATAATTCAAATCTTCTCTTTTTTGTATTTTTAGACACTTTCATAGACTTTTTTCCTCACGGACAGTATTGGGGCTTGACTGTCACGCTTGGCCTTGCTGCTGCAGGTTTTACACAAATTCAGTGCAGTTTTCAGCTGTCTTCTGAAAGAAGCCCAAATGACAATAGGAAAAGAACTAAGGGAATGGAAAATGTGGCTAAATCATTCCTAAAAATGTGGTCACTGACTTGAAATCATGCCAGTTCCAGTTACCGTGGTTATTGCTTCGTTTTGAATCGTGATACTCACTTGCTTGCTTCGTTTAAACTTAACCTTGAAAAAATCTTTTTGCTGCTCTGCAGACATTTTTGGCGTATCTTCAAAATTTGTTTTTCTAGTTCTCTTTCTCACTTGTGTGAGTTTTGGTGTTTTGTGTTTTTTATATTGCGCTTAACTGAAGACCTCCTTTATAGACTAATAGATCTAACAATCTGAAAATTGCGTGGCAAAAGCTTTTTCTCCCAGTTCTGTTGTTTGGGGTAAATTCCTACTGTTTTGTAAAAGTCAGTCTGATTAGAAAGGATAATGACTGCTTCCACTTAAATAAGGTACGCATAACTTTCAAACCTGGTCGTTTTTACAAGTAATGTAAATTGTTTGCTGCTTTTTGCAGTCCCCTTATAATCTGTTCTAAGAGGCATTTGAAAGCATTTCAGTTCTGTGCGGTTCAGGTGCTGATCCATCCCATTGTCCCCATGTCCAGTTAGAGGATGCTTACCACAACGTGGTGCTAACTTCTCTGAAGTTACTTTTAGCAAGGAGAGAGGTTTGTTGCAATAAGGGATTACAAATGGGTCCCTCTTTAACCTGAGCTTTGTACAAATGCTTCATTCTGCAGTACTTTTTTTTCTCGTCTGCCTGTGTCTCACCCATTCTTTATGTGCAAAAGCCAGGTAGTTTAGGTGAACATGGGACTTTCTGACACTCTTATGCAGCCGTTCTCTATTTTGACTCCTTAACTAACACTGCAGCCCTTGTCCCTCCAAGCAGAGCAGTCTGTACTACCAGCTTGCTCCCTCATGCTAGGAGAGGCACGGAGGAGGCAGCCCCAGCCGACAAAGACAAGTCAGCTTTCCTCTCCTCTTCCTGCCTGCTCAAAGCTCTGATTGCCAGAAGAAAGAGAACTTGCCCAGAGGGAGGAAGGGAGTTTCTGAAGATGTGGGAGGAGGAGACGAAGGCTGGCTAAAATTTTCCTGAGATTTTTTAGGCTCTTCTCCTTTGGCAAGTAAATATTCCCCATTGGAGGCCTGCTGGCTTACAGTAGCTGCTGGCACTGTGTCAGGAGCTATGCACCATTACACTGAAGCTTGCTAATTCCGTTGGTTTTGCAAAGCACAGTTAAGAGCTGGTCATGCTCTGACAACCTTGCCAATGCCCATTTACTTTGCTGTCATTCTTTTTTCTTGTCACATCTAGAGCTTTGAAAAACATGAGCAGCCAAACCTGCTTGCAGACCCGGCAGATTTAGCCCAGCCCAAGTTTGTGTAAGTCCATGAGCTCAAATCAAAGGTTCTGGCAGTCTGACTTCCATCCTCCAGCCCTGGACCTTGGTGAGCTTGCCGAGGAGCACATATTCATCAAATTCCTTCATTTCTGGAATGGGCAGTAACTTCCAGAGGGAAAAATGACTGCTTGATGCAACCTCTAAATATGCCTATGTCTTTGAATGATAGAAAATAAGACGGAAAAGAGTACGGAGGAGGGAGAAGAAAGTTTGCAGGGAGAAGGACAGCTGGGATGTAACTCTGAGTATCTTAGAAGTTGTCTCGTATGGTAGACATTTTACTTAACTCTCCCTAACAGAAATATAAGCAGCTCCCAAGGGATGCTGGCAGGAGGAGGAAGCTGTTGCACAGTGGAGACTCCAGCAAGCAGGGGATAGTCACAGTTTCGATACTAAACTGTGAACAGAATGATTCATCTCCCCGTATTTTGATCAGTGCTAAACAGGATTACATTTCTCTTCTCCGCAAGGATTTCATTCTAGAGTTTGAATCAATGATAATGAGTTTCCCTGCAATTCTAGGTGGAGAATGACAGCAAAATGTTCACTTCCACAAAGCTGACGTCGACTCAGCGATGGACTGGTGTCCTACCGCTCCTGTCTTTGCATATCCTGAAGACATGCTCTCAGCTCACACCGAGAGGAATCGTTTCCGAACATCGTAAGATATCTTGCTGTTAGGTCAGGACAGTGCGTTGCCTCCTTTAATTACAGTCTGAGAATTAGTTTCAGACGTGGAAGAATACACCAAAAAGAAATGGTGAGCATGTCTATATTGCTCTTACGTTGTACAAAGATGACTCAAGGACTCTTATTTTTATTTAAAGAAAACATATAATTAGGTATTTGGTAGAGGAGAGCCATCCAAAAGCCTTCTCTGAAAAGCTCCCATGTGTTGCTTTAAAAAGAGGAGTTAAATTTTGGAGTTTCAGCATGTGATTCCAAAATATGCAGATTAATACTTATTTAGAATCTAAAACTCTCTGAATTAAGCATGTGGCTTCCCAAGCTACTGCTCATTGTTTGTGAGGCAGAACGTTAGCTTTATTTTCCTATACTAAAGTAGGGAGGCTGAATTCTTTTGATGGTGTATCTTCCTTATGAGCTTCCAGTCATTTTAATGCACCTGCCTTACAAAAGACCGCGCTGCCACATGTCAGGTTCCACACGTTCTCCAGTGCGTTGACACAAAAATGACTGAGAGTTTGTTGGAAGCTTTTCAGTAACCACTTTTGTTGATACGACCTTGTTACATAATACCTTAATTGTACAAAGCACTTTCATAGGCCTGATGCATTTTATACTGGAGGGCAGAGCCTGATTTTTCAACCCCTGGTGCTCTTGCAGTGGATTCGAATGTGGGGTTTTTTTAAGAACCTCCTGCTGTTGCTGGTGGTGGTAGCAGCAGGCCCTCTAGAGGGTGATCTGGTCATAGAAGTGTTAGCAAGGACCAGAAGCCCAGTGCAGTGCTCCAGGGGATTCACGAAGCTATTTCAAGCCGATCTGAGTGCGCAGCACTGCAGCCAGAAGAGGTGGCTCTGTCCTGCGCTCATCCTCGTTCTGGCACTCATCGGGCTGCTCGTCTTGTTTATCCACTGCAAAAGAAAAGTTGTTCCAGGTTAACAAGGTAGTGTCAGTGACTTGTAGTATAATAACAGTTACTTCCCCAGAGCATTAGGAAGAGAGTTTGTAAGATGATCAGACTTCACAATGTGTATTTCTGAAGTGGACGACTTCTCTAGAGTTAGTAAAGTTCTATGCCTTGTCTTGAACCTCCGGTTCGGGAGGTTAACTTCCTCTGGAGGTGTCCTCAGAATTAACCTCTCGATGGCCACTGATGAATTACTTCAGTGTGAGTTATTGACAGAATAGAAGTAAAGCTTGGCCTGGGAATAAAAAGGCGTGGATCTTTAACTTTCTTTGCTTTAGAAAACAGTTTTGGCATTGCAGGAACAAGTTGAATGTCCCTGTGTGTTAGTAAAGAACATGTGAGATGACCTGTGACTGAAACTTCTGGGTTTTTTACTTTTGCTTTTGCAGGAAAAGCTGCAAGCCAGTTAATGACCAAATAAGGTCTCCATTCTCATGACTGATATGCTGTGCTTCTCCTGGAGCCATGGATGAGTACAGCCGCTTTGTGGATTGGGACAAAATGGATGTTACTGCCCAGAGCCAGGATGCGAAGGAGCTCACGTGCACGGAGTTCCAGGAGCTCAAGCAGCTGGCCCGGCAGGGCTACTGGGCCAAGAACCACTCTCTGAGAGCCAAAGTGTACCACAAACTGATCAGCAACATCCCATGCCGCACGGTGACCCCGGATGCGAACGTGTACCGGGACATTGTTGTGAAGATTGTCGGAAAACGGAGCAGTAGCTCCCTTCCGCTGCCAGAGTTTGTGGATAACAGCCTGGTGCCCACGTACTGCTTGAATGCCGAAGGCATCGGGGCGGTCAGGAAGATTATATTGTGCATCGCAAACCAGTTCCCAGACATATCGTTTTGCCCGGCGCTGCCTTCTGTGATAGCTCTGCTCCTCCACTACAGCAAAGACGAGGCGGAGTGCTTTGAGCAGGTTTGTCGCATCCTGGCTTGCAACGACCCCTCGAAGCGGCTCATCGATCAGACCTTCTTGGCTTTTGAGTCCTCCTGCATGACCTTCGGTGACCTGGTCAACAAGTACTGTCAGGCAGCCCATAAGCTGATGGTGGCGGTGTCCGAGGACGTGCTGGAGGTTTATTCCGACTGGCAACGGTGGCTCTTCGGCGAACTGCCCATGGCGTACGTCGCGCGGGTCTTTGACGTGTTTCTGGTGGAGGGCTACAAAGTTCTGTACCGCGTTGCGCTGGCTCTCCTGAAGTTTTTTCACAAAGTCCGGCATGGGCAGCCCATGGAGTCCGACAGCGTGCAGCAGGACATCCGAGCTTTCGTGAGAGACATCGCCAAGTCGGTGTCTCCCGAGAGGCTTCTGGAAAAAGCCTTCGCGATCCGCCTTTTCTCACGGAAGGAGATCCAGCTTCTGCAGATGGCCAACGAGAAGGCTCTGCAGCAGAAAGGCATCACGGTCAAACAGAAAAGGTAGAGCTCTCGCAACGGGTGCTGAGCCGGTAGCATAACTGAAATGTTAGTGGTACGAAAGAAACGAAGCGGTTTCTCATCACTCACTCAGCAATGAATTTATAGTTTTTTACAGGTACATATTTAATTGCAAATACTGCATCTCAAAAGAGTCTTTCGCGAGTTGTTTTTAAACTAAAAGGTGTTTTAGGAAAACTGGCAAAAGCACTGATTAATTACTCGGAAGGAAAGCATCCAAACAGATGTGAAAATTACTTCTTAAATATGAGATTATTTGTGTAAAATTTCAATTTCATGCTACCCAGTACTGTGAATTCAGCAGTTTATTTAGTGTCAACAAGCAAATGCTGTCCCAGCTGGAAAACATTTTGCTCAGCCCGAGGAGTTACTTTAACAGAGCAAAGCAGAAAAAAGTCTTATTTATAGGCTACTTCTAAAATTAGTTTGACTGCAAGCCTCCTGAAAGTCAGGACTATAATAATTGTAGATAGGGAGTTGACCTTTTTTGTGACAGGTCCGTGCAGTATTAGAAATAACAATTTCAAAAGAACCATGGTAGAGAAGAGTGAGGATACTGGTCCAAATGATGAAATCACAGTTTCTTTGCAGAAATGAGGGGAGGAAAAACCAGCTGTAAAACTAGTAAATGAAATCCTGCTCCAGTGTGATAGTAAAAGCCACAATAATAGAAATCTTAGCTGGAAAACCTCTGCATGTATATAGAAAGGGCAGCAATATATTAATCTAATCAAAATTAGCTTCTTGCTGAGTGCAAATGTATGTGCAAGTCAGTACCGGTGTTGTAGACACGTTCTGTTTCTCCTAAGGCTGCCTGTGACTGCAGAAAACTTCTCCCAAACACTTCTGGAAATCTTAAGTTTTAAGCGTCGGACAGTTTTATCTCCTGACCGCTGAAGGGAGGAGCAGCTTCTAGAAGTCTACTGGGGTCAGCAAGTGTGATAACTTAGAACTTGGACATCTAGAGAGACAATCTTTCAGATTTTCTCTAAATCTGCAAAAATCGTCAGCCACTGACAAGTTAGGAACTTACAGCCAATTCTGTTGCTGAGATAATTACAGCAGTTGTGAACAGAAGCCATTCCATGGGATTGAGATCTATACCTAGCAGGTTTCAGCCTGTAAAATAACATAAACTGTTAGCTGAACCTCTTTTGTGTGCCCCAAATACATGTGAAGTGCCTCCAGGCTTTTCCAGCAGTTTGTTTTTGCACTCGCAGTTCGGTTTACAATTAGCTTGTGCTTTATTTCACTCGTATCTTGGAGGAGACTGGTGAGTCTCAAATATTTCAAGGCCTTTAGCTGCTGGAACATCACGTCGGATAGAGTTCAGAGCATTGCTTTTGGGACTCGTAACCAGAAGTAATAACTCTTTCGATGTGTATCTTTTTTCATTGTACTGAAGTTTGGTAGAGTTGCGATATCCTTTCTGAATATATTCTTCAGCAACAGAATGAGAGCTTTAAAATAAAAATGAAAAAACAGAACCAAAAACTCAGCCAAGCACAAAAGCCCTGGAAGCTCCTGCTGTGTGAGACATAAAAACAAGGGAAGATTTTAACTTATCTGCTTGTTTGTCTGGTTTTTTTCATTCTTGGGTGATTCAAATCAAACCTGACTTTGTTTTTCTCCAGGCTCCTTTCACTCACTTTGCTGTGGATGTATGAAATCACTGATCTCTTCTGTCTTTTTTTTTTTTTGTCTTTCTCCTTACACGTTTTCCTTCTGTCAATTCCATACCCACTGCACCCCTCCTGTTTGCAGTCTTGCAACTCCCAAAAGGTAGGTTACAACACTTGAATCTTCAAGCTTTGCTCGTTTTCATCTGTCTTTGGCCAGTTGTTGTTTTCCCGCTGAGGAGGCTGTCATTTTTGCTGATGCTGGGGCCAGAGAAGCAGGGCAGGGATGGCAGCATGCGGGACACCTCTTCAGTTCGCTCGTGCAAAGTTAGCTCAGAGCACCTGCAAAGCCATGAGATCAGGGATCGTGGGCTCTGTACAGAGATACAAGCTTGTGTTTTCCAGAATTCAAGGAGTAATTTTAACAGTAAGTCCTTTCTGTACCGGAAGAGGTGTTGTTTCGGAGGCTTTTTTTTTTTAAAACAGCTCAAGTCTTCAGAACCGTTGTCCCACATCCAAAACCAGTGTATGTTGTTGCAACAGATGTGAGGCATACTCAAGCTTATTTTCTTCTTCACTAGCTTCCTGCGGTTAATTAGGAAAATGTTGGACTGAACCCAACTTGGCACGCTCCTGAAAGTGGCTTGTCCCTATTCATACTCGATTATATTTATTTTTTTAAGTAGGTAGGGTTTTTTTTTTAGAGGCAAGAGGACAAGACTATTTTCCTGTGTCGAGAAGGTCAGAGTTACTCAGCCATACAGCATTAATAGTTAATGAAGTCATTCATCACAGCTTGGCCTGAAAAACAAATCGTAAAGAACAAACTCCAGTGGATTGTGATACCTGATAAGCAGAGAATTTGGAAAGGAGAAAGGCTGCCCTGTGAGTATTAAATACCACAGAGACCTGGGTTTAAATTAATGCCTTTGAGAATCTTCTGGCCTTGTTGCAGGTGCCCCGAGTTAACTTTAGTGAGTGATTCACACTAACAATTGTACTAATGTATAAATAGAAATTGGAATTAACTTCCTCATGTTTTCGTGTTTGAAAGGACACCTTCAGAAGCCTTACGAAAGCATGTTTCATATCCTATCCCGTGTGTTGAGGATTTTACCTCCAGCGGATCAGCAGGCTGTTCAGCCCAGCCAAGCAAATCTTCACCATCCTCATATTATTATTTCATCGTAGTTACCAGGCTCTGAAAGCAGCAGAAACCCTCAATTTCTACTAAGAAGCACCCAGTTTGGGTTGGAGGGGACTTAGGTCGATGCAGGGTGTCTGTTGACACTAGTTTCAAGACAGGATTAGATTTCAGGCTTATACACCACGTTCGGCTTCATTGCCATTTCTGACCTACAAACAACGTATCGCCTCTGCCACGTGTTCGTGCCCTAACTGAAATTGTAAGAGGTTTGAAGATAATGCTGACTCTGTGCGATTTGACCCAAAACAGCAGAGTGGGATGGCTTTGTCTTCAGGAACTTCGAGTTCTCTGAAGCACATTGCATTAATGATACAGCCGTAAAAGCAACAGTCCTGCGAAAAGAGCTAAGAAGCCGCTTTATTAAGCGTTTTAATTGTGCTACTGATCTAAATCTAATTTCCTTTGGGATAATAACAGTTGAACGTGTCTTTCCAACATCAGCAGTCAATGGAAAGTTGTCATGTTGATCCCAATAAGCCATCGTGAAGAATCGAGTAAAACGCTAATGCAGAGTAAAATCTTAATGAGTTACTTCAGTTCTAGTAGTAGATTTTAATGCAGTGCCAGTCCAAATTTAGCATGTTCTCTAACTGCAGGGGTTTTTTTAGCTGATAACTGTGAGAGTCCACACGTGTGGTGAAGGCTAAACTTAATTTTCATCTACCAACGTGAGTTAAAACACAGGGTTGTTTGGTGGGGGTTTTTTCTTAGCCAACCTGCCTGCAGTTTATTTTCACTCTTTTATTACTTTGAAAAGCAACTGCCAGCCTGCAGTTGGTGATTTTCAGTGTCATTAGAGAAACACTGCCCAAAATGAGAGGGTGCATGCAAGTTAGATGCTTGTAATTTTATTTACAATTTTCTGAAACCCCTCCAAAAATTAAAAAACCTTTTTATTAGGCAGGACGGGGTTTGGTGTATTGACGTGTGACGTGAAATTGAAAACGTTTTGCCATGACGTTCCCGGGGCGGGAGCGACATGCCTGCGGTGGTTTCGCATGGCCAGTACAGTGGTAAATGCTTTCTAGTGAATGGGAAAGATCTGTTTGTGAAGATGATACTCTCGCTACAAGTTGGAGGAAAGTGACGAGTTACTCCGAATTCTGCTGAGCACAGACTTCGAACTAGCTCTGGGAAGGAAAGACTTTAAAGCAGCAGTTTGCAGTAGCCAGGAGTAGGAACAGAGGCAAAACAAAAAAGGTACGCTGAGGTCAAGAGCCTTTCAGGAACAAGTACTTAAGTGTAGTTGCCCAAACAAGTCGCACAAGTGTGAAAAATGTACAGACCAAGCGTACAAATAACTGTGAGGCTTGCTCATTTAAGGTTTAGTAAGTGTAAAGCTGGTCTGGTATTTGCTATGAACTCTTAGCCTGTTTATGATCATTACATTTCCCGCAGAAATTCACTTTCATAAACTAGTTGAATGCCCTGAATATTTTTTTAATTCCTTGAATTCAAGAAAACTTTAATTTCTGATGATCTGAAACCAAGGCTTGCTTTCTCAGCTCTGCTCCATAGTGCCACCGATCTTGAGCTGCAGACCAGAGAGGGCCAGGAGGGCTGAGACCTGAAGGAAGATGCTGAAGATGTGGGTCCAAGTCTTGACACGTACTTTGCTCCAGTTGATCTCTCCTGTGCCTCAGTTTCTTGTGTTTAAAAGCACAGATCATGCCATAATCAGTGACAGTGAAAGTTTTAAAACCCATTAATAGATGCAGCTTAAATAGGTGTCTGTGTAAGTTCCTTACCCGTTAAATAATGTGGGGTAGCAATGGAAGTAGTCATTTGGTTTGTTTTGCTGGACGAAGCAGTAATTTCCTACTTTTTTACTTTTTAAACTTACCTAAGGAATCACTTCATTAGAAGTGCTGACACCAAGGCAGTGACAGTAAATTTCCAAAAGCATCTTCTGAAGTCTCCAAGTAAGCATTGCCCTGAAGTACAGTGCAAATGCTGCAAGAAAAATAATAAAAATATATCATTTGTGCAGTTTAGGGAGTGAGCTACACTGTTCAGATATGTACAGACATGCAGGTCCTCTTTATATTCCATGAAACTAGGAGGAACGAAATGTGTAATTGTCAAAAAAAACCAACCAACCAAAAAAAAACCAAACCAAACAGAAACCCCAAACTGCCAGATACTGGTGAATACTTGCAACTGAACCCTTGCATGCAGCGCAAACTACCTAAAGCTTCATTTAACTAATGATGACCCAGTAATCTCTTGTCTCATGTAAGTTCCTCTGTCACTTCCACCTTGTACTTGGCTGTCACTGTTGCATTTTAAAAGTCTTTAACATCAGCCATGGATGCAGTAACGCTCATTTAATCCCCGGGCTCTGAGTCTGTGCTTATTTTGTCTGAGAAATGAAGGCTGGTTAATCACCATCCCGTTACTATCATCATCATTAGTATCATCTCATGTTTAAAAGCTGTGAATCGGTTCTTATGCTTGTCTCAGACCCCCGGGGTGGGGGGGAGGTTGCTTTCCAATGTGTCAGGCGTTGCTTCATGTTTTCGGGCTCCGTCTGTAACCACGAGCCTGGGAAACCTCCCCAGTTCTTAATGAAGTCGAGGCTGTTGGTAACGGCACATTTCCAAGAGGTGGACCTTTCCAAGACCTTCACGTATTTGCCCTGCATTAGAACCATTCAGCCTGGTAATGCCTCGATTTCTGAGGGTTTTAGGAGTTCTCTTAATTCTATGATACAGATGAGACTTCAGAGGAGGAAGAAGTAGTGCCTCTGCCTTCCAGATCTGGGCTGTTTCTTTAGGGATTCTGTTCTCTGTGCTTAAATACTAGTGCCAGTGAGACTTGTCTCAAACAGACAAATGTAATTTGATCTTTTTAAGGTCATAGTTGTCCCAGCTGGCTCACCATGATGTCCTCTGTAGATAAAGATGTGGGCCACAGCTTCCATGCAGAGGAATTGCTCCAAGTACTTCAGTAAGGCCAGATCACACGTCTCGAGGATTCTGTTGAACTAAGGCTTGGCCTCCTAATCCCGTTGAACGATAGCATCTCTAGTGTTGAGCTGTCTTTGTGCCCTACCAAGCAGTAATCTGAACCTTTTGTTGCTAAACTGCTGTTACTCAAGGGTTTTGTGTTGTATTCCTCAGGCAGAATGTGCACTTAGCGGTTCATGCAGAAAACTTCAAGTCTGAAATTGTCAGCGTCAAAGAAATGCGAGATATCTGGTCGTGGATCCCAGAGCGATTTGCACTTTGCCAGCCCCTCTTGCTTTTCACCACTTTGGAACACGGTTGTAGCCTGAGCAGGTAAGAAAAACCTTCCCCGCTCTTACCTGCTGCAGGGCAAAAAGAAAAAGAGCAACTGGTGTGCTGGGTTGGCCAAAAGGCCATGCCTAGTCAGAACTTGATTGAAGGAGTATTATTAGCAGCGGGATGTATATGTGACAAATTCCCATCAGCTACAGCATTAGATTAGGTTATTTCACGTGTCAGAACGTGGCAAGCTATTTTGAACTATTCAAGACAAAGTTAGAGAAGTCAAACTTTTATCGGTTCATGCCAGTCTGAGGCTGGTTTGTTCCGCACTGGTTTAGCTCAGCGGCTGCTCTTTTGGTAGGTAACCACATTCAAACTGATCCGAAGAATAAGGTAACTGGAAACCAGAGATTCCCCTACGTATGTTATGTTTAAAGTGAGATAAACTAGATAGGAGTTCTCCTTGCACTTGACGTAGAAGACTCATCCTGTAGCTTCTAAGAATGCCTTTGACATCTGGAATTGAGGTACTGAGGTGGAGAGCGATCTGCTGTCCCAGCCTCGTGTGCCAAAGAGGAAAACAAGAGAACACATCACAGTTATCTTCTGTGAAAACCTAAAGCTCTTCCAACACAGCTTTCGGGCCTCAGGACACGACTTCTCTAGGTTGTCTAAAATCAGAATGCTGTAAAATGCCGCTGTTGTGATAGGTAATCTTCCAGCTGTTCTGCAGAGGCATCAACAGCTGTAGAGAGAAGTGAGTGCAGAATAATTGGTTAGTTACAGTGGGCTGCAGAAAGCATTTGCAGGAACACGCATAGTCCTCGACCATCTTTTTTAGCCGTGCCCTCAGTCGGAGGAGAAGGTGGTGCCTGAGGAGGTGTTTAAGGAGGGAAAGAATTAGCGCTCATTTCTGTGTGCTCTGCGCTTCAGGTTCTATTCTCACAGCGAGGGGCACGAACCAACTCTTCTCCTCATCAAGACCACAGCGAAAGAGGTGAGTGAGGTGAAAGGCAACCGATTCAGTTAGCATTTGGTTATGTAATGCTGTGTTGCAACACACAACTGTTTGTAATAAAATGAAGAGCAAGGGACCTGAAATTGCTCGAGGTTTGGGTTGGGGCTTTTTTTAACAATGCATGCTTTAAATGGTTCCATTTGTTGATCGTGGGACTGTGCATTCTTGGGTAAATCTGGTAAAGTAGGTCTTGGTCAGCTGTTCTTCTGAGTAGTGTGGGATGATGGATGAGAGTAACTCACTGAGCTCTTGGACAGACCCTTAACTGCAGAATTGGAGGGAGAGGCTGGGGAATTGTGTTAAGAAACTCATGATTCATAGGATATAATTTCATTTTCTCCAGAATGTGAGGCGAGGAAGCGGCAGAATTTTAAGTGGCATGAATAATATCAGGCTACATAATGTGGGAACAAAAGCTTTAACTTCATTGTCTTACTGTTTGAGGAGGGAAAAATAATAAAACAAGCAAGCTCTGAGAACCGGAGGGGGAGCGCACAGGTGCCTTATCTAATGAGTACTGATTCTCTGCCCCACTGTGTGGGATGATACTGGACAACGTAATGTAAAACCAGAAACATCAGCTTCATCTCATGCTTGTTTGAAAAAAAAATTAATGCATAAAAGCAGAAAGCTCCCCAGAACCTCTGAAGGAGGGCCCACAGATGCTTCCTGCCACGAGTGTTGGTTGTCTGTGCTGCTGTGCGTGACTTGTAAATACTCAGTGTAGAATGCTGAGCTTTTATTGCAGCCTGTGGGCTTTTATTTATTTGTTATTTTGCTCCTTGCCCTGGAGCATGTCAGAAGTCTAGCTTTGATGCTGGTTTTTATAGTATAGTTCATGTTTTAACCCTCAAAAAAAAATAAAAAAGATAGTCCAAACAAAGAAGTACAAGAAAAGTATGTTTTGGGGTTTTTTTTATTGGTTGTGGGTTGTGGTTTTTTGCCAGGAATTATGTTCATCCTTTATTCATATATCTATAGTTACATTTTAGAAAGAAGAAAATTTGCCTTCTGGTTTTCTGGCTCTCGTATACTTCAGGCATATCCGATCAAACAGAGTTCTGCACCATCTTTTTGTTTATGCACACGATTTATTTAAATTTTAAAAAGCCCTGTCCTTCAGTAATTTTGTCCTAGGAGCTCTGCATATACTGCTGGCCAAGGCTAGACAGCAAATGTACCTCAGAACAATTCTGTTTAACCATTGTTTTGGCGGGGAAAAAAATCACACAGTTGCTTTCATCCCATTCTTAGAGCTTCATTGTTTGGTCTGCGTCCGCTTGGCAGCGCCGCTTATTGCTGGTAGCAAGAAATTTTTCTACTGCAAACAAAAGACTCCCCAGAAAAGCTCAGCCCTTGAAGGCGATGTTTGGCTTTATTGGAAACCAGTGACCCCCGCGCTGTTTGAATGTTCTGCTTCAGATATCGGAGCAAATTCAGCGCTGGCTGAGCTGATTTCAGCCTCCAGTTTGAAACTGAGAAAGCCGCCAAAACTCCTTGTTCACAACCAGCAAATGTTCGGGAGGAACTGCTCATGCTGTAGGTTGTGACAGTACTGGTGCTTTGGATGCCAAAATGTAAAAGTGCTTCACAAGCTTGGAGTGATTTTGTGGTTTGGTACCTGATATTGTCTTGGAACATTTCTCCTTTAAGGCCTCAGAGATGTGAAATCATTTATGAAACTCTTAGGATTTAAGGGTACCCACCGGTGGATTAAAACAGTTTAGATCTGTATTTAGATATAAGTACTTAACGCTGCTTTAATCCACCAGTAGAGAGATTTTGAAAATCAAAGTAAACCAAAACCTTCAGTTCCGGGCTCTGCAATGCCAGCATGAACTGGTTTTACTTACTCTCTTCTTCACTGAAGCCTCCTGACCGTGCTGTTTGCACTAGGTCTGCGGTGCTTACCTCTCAACCGACTGGAGCGAGCGCCGGCGAGGAGGCAACAAGCTGAGTTTCTTTGGAACTGGGGAGTGCTTTGTATTTAGGGTGAGTAAAGTTCTTATTGTCACAAGACAGAACTGCTGTGCTGGTGTCAGTAGCTCTTCCTGCCACTCGAAGAGGCTGGGCTGTGTGCCCCCTGAGGTTATAAATCTACCCAGCTGTTAATGCGGAGGAGGAAATTTTTGCTTCTCGGTTTTGCGGTAACCCTTTTACGGAGTGTTTTCCTAAAGAATGTAATAAGGGAACTCGGAAAACACTGTGTTATTTCTTCAGTCACCTAAAAAGCGAAGATGTAAAGAGAGAAAATAACATCTGGCCTGAAAGGTGGTTTGAGCCTGTCTTTACCCTGGAGTCTGAGGGGCTTGAATGTTCTTTACCGTGCAGAGCTCTCCGCATGGCGAACATGCGCTAACCCACACTTTGCTCTTCTCCCCTGCTGTGCAGCTGCAGCCAGAAGTGGAACGCTACGAGTGGGTGATCATAAAACACCCAGAGCTGGCCACCGCTGGGACGGAGCCGGAAAATCACACCTCGCCAGCCTCCAGCACCCTCTCATCCGGTGGTGCCCCCTCAGACCCCTCGGATCGCCTCTCTCCCTTCTTAGCGGCTCGACACTTCAACTTGCCTTCCAAAACAGCCTCCATGTTCATGGCTGGCAGCAGCGAGTGCGTCATCATAGGTAAGTCGGTCTGACAGTTGGAGGTCCTGGTTGTCCTTTTCCCAAAAAGCTCTGCTTGAAGCTTCTTGGGTGAGCAGCGGACGTCATGATGTCCTCTGTGACACTGAGCATTGCCCTGTAAGCAAAAGGGGAATCTTCCTTTTTGTTTTCCTAACACATTTCTTTTTAAATTTATTTCACTTCGCTGCATTCTCTGTTAGCTTGGTGAATCTTGACTTGGACGCACAGATAATGAAAATGCTTTTAACTGTGGCATGTTTTTTGTAATGATTCAGAAGACTGAGCCAGAGCTGTTACTGATCTTCTTCTCCCAGCTTTGATTTTTGACTGCAAAAAGAATTCTTTGATTTTCTCTTTACTGGAGGGAAGATATGCTGTTGGTAGTTTCTGAGCACTGAAAAGCAAACCTTAACTGCAGGCATTTGAATCAGGCTTCTTGTTCTTACTGACTTGCATTACTGTTTGGGTTTTTTTGAATTTTGAAAAAAAATCATCCTATTCCAATGGTGGTGTTTGAGTCGTGCATTTGATCCTACTCTGTTACACCTGAAGACAACAAGCACACATTGCTCGAAGCTTTTAGTTGTTCCCATGAGAGTAGCACATTGGGTGTGGGGTTGTGGGGTTTTTTACACAGCAGTTTCCCCTGCTAAGAAATGGTGAAACACCCTCACACTTGGCTTTTTCTCTTCGCAGGAGGCGGCGATGGCCAGGCTCTTTACCTCGATGCAGATCTGAACCACGGCAGAACCAGCCACTGCAATACTTTCAATAATCAGCCGTTGTGCTCTGAAAGCTTCCAGATCTCTGTCCTGGAGGTGTGGGGCTTCAGGGACACGATGAATGGGTGATGTGCCCATCGTTAATCAATTAGTTTTTCACTTGCCCTAGGATTCCCAAGGCAAATTCTAATGCAGGAGCCAAGTTAGAACATGCTGTCCGCGGGTTTTTAGTAATTACAAAGTGGTGCACTTGAATGCAGGGCTTAGTTGTTTACTTTTATTTAAGACAAGTCAAGGTGAAGTAATGTAACTCCTTAGCTTTTTACCTCTAGAGATCTGGGTTCAGGTGCTGTTATTAGGTAAAAATGAAAATGTAATTATTCCAAACCAATCCTTAGTGGATGTGAGTCCATATTGGAGGATGGATTTGCAGTTTGGTGCACTTCCTCGAAGGCACGGAGCTGGCTGAGCGTGCTGCAGAGCCAGGGATATTGCATGTCTGCTCACAAGGAACACTGATGACCTCAGATCTGACATAGAGCAGTAGTTCTGCCTTACAACAAGCAGACATTGCGCAGACAAATCAGTACGATCTCCTGAGTGATTAAATCCCTCAATTCACACAAGAGCCGCGATTCCTAGCTATCCTTCTCCTTGTAGTTGAACCCTTGACACGTTCCAGTTGCATCTCTTTGAGGAGCCTGCCTCCGAGAACAGCGTCCAGACTGGACAATGATATCTCAAAGGCTTGATTTTGTTTACATTCCAATTCCATATCAGTATAATGATTTTCCACATGACTCGTGTCTCAGGCAGCTGAAAGCTGCGGCTTGCGTGCAGAGCTTGGAAACTTCCTTTGTCTTTCCTGGAAGCTGAAACGGAGCTTCAAACCTGAGAGTAACTGTGTCAATATCACCACGTGCTCGGGGAATTAGACGCTGTGATCGAGAATCTTAATGCTCTCCCTGCAAGTCAATTGGAGGGAGGTGGGAGGTAAATCTCCTGGGAGTGGACGAGTTGCCCAGGGGAACTCTAGGGGACATTGTTCCTCCATATCCCAGTGATGAGATCCTGAAACAGGTAACGAACACTCTTCTGCTGGTGGCGTTCTGGTAGGGATTTGGAGGATGAAAAAAGGCTTTTGCTCATTCCTGAGGATTCACCCAGTTGCCTGCAAGCTTGCCTTGTGGCGTGTGGTGCCCAGAGGCAACTGCCTGGGATCTTTATCTGAAACCTGCAGTATGTGCTGTGGAACTTCTCCCACATGAAGTGCAAGTAGGTAAACATCGACAGATAGCCCAGAGGATACAGCAGGTTGCTTTTGGAGCTTCAGTGAGTAACTCGCTAGTAAGGTTTACCACAGCAAGTAAAATGAGGGGAAAGATGGTTTGTTCAGCCGTTCAGCCTCAAGAATTGCTTTAGAGCAGGAGAATCGTGTTACCACTTGAAGTTGATTAAAAGAAAAAATTTAAAAATTACAGTGATAACACCTCAGCTAGACCAGACAGGGCCGTGTTAGTACTCAGTGGTCACAGGTGAGTCATCTTGGTCTTGTTGGCTTGCTTAGCTTGCCATCAGTGAAAATACGACGTCTTGTTGTCTCTCGTAAAGTGTATGAACAAACCCAACAAAAACTTGATTTACTTCTTCAGGTGCTGTTTTGAATTCCTGACAGACAGACTCTTTGAAATACTTGTCCTCGGACACAACAGTTCAGGGTGTCTTTTGCATCATTTCTGTTTGCACTTAGGTTATCTCCCCCTGTCAGCCCTGAGCTTCTCTTTCTTTCCTGCCTCCCAGTCAGCAAGTTCTGTCCAGCTGGTTTCATGGGTTTCCTGTAAGCTTGACCAGTCTAGAACTTTCGAGAAAATTCAGTTACACTTACGTATTTTGATGAGGATGAACTTGAACAGCCGTATTTTTGGGCAAATACTGGCTAATGTTGCCTTCTATTATGTTTTCAAAGTGAGCTGTGTCACTTTGCACTTGCTGGTATCCCACAGGCTTCCCCAGACTAAACAAATGACAAAAAAATGTGTCCCATTTAGTAGGTCCTCTTGAACAGAGGTGGGATTTCAGTTTTGTTCCTATCTCCTCTCTTTGTTGGAGGTGCCCTTGGGAAAAAAAAAAAACCAAAACACAATAGCATTAATTTGCAGCTTGTTAACTTGTCAGAAATTCCCTGTGTGTTGGCAGGATTTGTGGGACTTGAGTGTTATGGTCAGAATGAATAGGGTTTATTTGCAGAACCTTCCCTGCAGCTGGCAGCGGGCATGTGATTTCCTGACTCCCCATCCCTGCCCCTGCTGGACACAGCTGAGTGAGAACTGCCCTTGTCCTCAGCCATATCAAAGGGAAACTGTTCCTTTCCCTGCTCTCAGTGCCTGGAGACTTGAGTGTTTGAAATCCAAGACAACTCAGCTACTGAGAAGTTCATCATAGGCTCTTAGCCTGAGAATCCAGGACTGAAAATCAGAGTGGTTTTGGCATCTCAAGCATCTTTCACAAGTCAGTTGCCGGTCTCAGCTCAGCTCCCCTTGTGGCAGATGAGCAGGATTCCAGATCCTCCCGGCAGTGAAGGAACACAAAAGACAATTTTACATGGGACTAAAGGTAAATCTTCGTTCTTAAAGGTAGCTGGGTGGCTGGCAGCATCCGCCAGCTGCTCTATGTGCTTTTGCTCAGAGCACACCTTAACAGCCAGAGCAATTTGAGGAGTGACCTCTGTGAGTTGGCAGATCACCACAGGGGGTAAGAGAGTTACCAGGTAATCCTCTTCCTGCTCACAGTCCGTAATCATATCAGTCCTGTGTCACGGTGCTGGGTTTAGTCTGATATCGCTGCAGACGTCCTGCAGGCCTAGCACACGAGGTAGAAATTAGGCAAGAGGCTGCACTGATGCGGCCGGCGGGATTGTGCAATGCCGTGTCATCTTCACACGGTCCTTTTGTTCGGTAGAAATGAATGTTCCTTCTCATGTGCATTACAGCCTCGTGCATAATTCTCCCCCCAACATGGTCGTGAGACACCTTGGAGGAATTAGCGTTGCGACTTGGGTTTCTTTCCAGTAGCAAAGAGGCGTGTTGTGGGGGGTTTTTGTCCACGTAGTTAGTGATTGTTGCTGTCTAGCAAAGTTCAGGTAATTAAGCCAACACTTTGTATTATGTGCAAAACTCTGAGGTGGAGACCACAAGCTGGGTTTTAAGACAATTACTACAGTAGGCACCTTATCGGAAAGATAAAACTCTCTGAAGTAGTCTGTAGTCCTTGTCTGTGGCCCCGCTGGCGGCAGCGACAGCTGGAGTGCCAGCGTTGTGTGATGAGCTGCTTTTGTGGAGCTGAAGACTGGGTGTTGGCTACCACAGCTTTTCAAGAGCAGATTTGCTTTTCCCAGGAAGCCATTTCTGCTTTGTAAGATTCTCTTGAAGGCAGAAAAGACTAGAAACTCCTGACACAGAAACTTGAATTTCTTGTAAATGGCATCTAAGCTGCTCCCAGGCCACAGGAACTCATTTCCAGCTGTCAGCCAGACTGGGTAGAAGTCACCCCTGCTCTCTCGAGCTGATCATACACTTTGACACGCTCCCTTTTCTCATGGAGTATGTTGGATGGCCTAATAGAGGCCAGTTAACAAAGGGAAGAGAAAAGCTCTGTGTTGAGATAACTCAGATTGCCAATGGAGATCTGTGTTTAGCCGTGGAGGGGCAGCACCTGCCTATCAACCAACTGCCCTTTGTGTGTGTGTGTGTCCGTGTGCATGCGTTGAAATCGTGTACTTTGTCCTTGGAGATCCATCCTTGTTTTTTGATGGGGTGTGAGCTCCTCTGCCCGCTGGCCCTTCAGTCTCTGGAGCGACACCAATGCCAGCAGGGGCCAAGACTTCCGCTTGCAGCTGCAACCAACACCTGGAGTCTCGCTGTTGGATGGATCTGAGGTTTGGGCACCCGGCTGTTGCTGTTGAGATGCCTTTCTGTCAGCTCTCTCATGAATTTCAGACTCTGCGTAGCTGAGATGAATGCGCACATTATTTGGGGTGATGTTTTTCGCCAGCCGATCGGTGGTGTGCTGCTGAGTTGGTTTTGTACCCGCCCGTTGGAATCGCCGCCCTGCGTTGTTGGTATTTCTGTCGCTGTGTGAATCGTGGATTGTATTAAAAGGTGTTTGACTGTGGAGGCAACTGCCTTTGTCCTTCATTTGCTTGTTTTCGTTCCTGCCAATGGTGTGCTGAAACTGAGAAGTGAACCTTGGAGCATGAGCTCTCAGGGAACTCCTCACCGCGGTGAAGCGATGACGCAGTTCCTCACTGTTTCAGGAGGTCTCAAGAGGTTTCCACCGAGATCAGGGTGTCAAACCGACTAAGAAACCTTTGTCTGGCAGATTTAGGAACAAGCCTTCTTCCCTTTGGTGGAGCTGGAGAGTGTGTTTTGCCCCAGCCAGGGTTTAAAATGGATCTTAGAGGTGTCTTCTGGCCACCAGCAGCTCTAAGTTGTAGATGGGACCTGAGACCTGGGGTGCTGTTGCGTCTTCTGCACGGAAATGCCGTCATCGACTCGACCTTCTTCCTGCCAGTGTGAATATGGCTGCTGGCAGCGGGCAGGCAGCTCAGTTGAGGAATTGCTTTTTTAAAACCAGTATTTTTGTTCCTCTTGATGGCTTGGTTTTCACTTGGATGTCCTCCCTGCCTGTGTCCCCGATAACAGTGCAGATGGGTCACGGTCAAAAGGAGTATCTTTAGGTAGCAGCATTGGTTTGAACAAATACTCCTTTTCCTTCAAGCCTAACTTTTCCAAAGCCTGAAATGTAAAAGTAAGATTTTGGGGGACTACAGGAGCTTACTGGCATAGCTGAAGGATATCAGGATCCTCTGCATAAGATGCCTGTGGAAGCTGCCTTCAGGCAATGACTAATGAAGCTAAAAAAAAAAAAATGAGGTTCCAGTGAAATTCCACTAAATTCTTGGGGTTTGAGTGGAACTCCTGGCAGGCAGGAGAGGGGAAAAAAAATTAAAAAATCAAACCCAAACTCAAAACCCCACATATATGCCTCGTACACAACACGGGCTCCTCTGTGCTGCTGCGCAAGGGGGTTTCCAAGAGCAAAGCCCTGCTCTAGGGCGATGTGATGTGGAGAAGAGGGATTGCTGAGCTTGCGGAAACAATTCACAGCTTTTTTCCATGCCAGGATGAGGATTTGCTGCAAAGAAAGCCCGTGG